CACAAACGCAATTAGTTTAATAAACAGATAACACAAAACGATTTGTTTAACTCGTTTAATTTTAAAAAAATTTATTACTCCACTTTTTTTATTGTCAATTGCACTTATCTCAAAAAAGATGATTTTTTAGCAAAATCTCATATCTCATAAAAATAAGACTTGAAGGTTTAAAAAGAAAAGCAAGAGGTTATTGCTTTTTATAGGCAACTTAAAACTCCTCATCTCCCCTCATTTTTCAATGTGGGATAAAAACAAAAGGCATTGGTTTGTCTTTGTATTTGAAGTGTTCCACATCTCCACTCTTTTGTCTTTAAATTACTACTTTATTTCTTTTTTTTTATTGATTTCTTTACTTCTTTTTTTCTTGTTAATTTTTTAAAATAATTATTAATTTATTATTATATTAATAATATTTAAACAGGTAAACGTGTGATAAACGGTTTGACATGTTTCACCCAAACACGACCAGTTTATTAAACGTGTTTGGCGTGTCAACCCGTTTATCACCCAAACCTGTTAAAATCTTACTCAAACCCGTTTAATTCGTGTCGATTCGTGTCGGTTAATCATGGCATGTCAAATTTTGACAGCCCTATCTCTCTCTCTCTCTCATAAGCTCTCTTTCTCAAAATCTCTCTCTGTCTAGTCTTTCATACTCATTAAATTGTTCACAAATCTACCACTTAAAAATTTTGATATTCTTGTCTTTTCTTTTTGTTAATATTAGTGAAGTTTATAAGAAACAAGTTTTAATATTGACTAAAAAATTTTGGTTGAAAAAATTAAAAAAAAAAAAAAAAAACTTGAAGACAGTAAGAGAATTTTGTAAAACATTTGAATAGATATTTGAATTTATTGATTAGAGTGTTTTATATCAAATAAATTTTTTTATTTAAATTTAGACTCAAATTTAAGTCTTAGTTATCAGTTATTGTTATTAAATGTTATTTTTATGTAATGTGACCAATTCACAATTATTAGATACTCTTGGAACTCCAAATATTTTATAAAATAACAGTTGAAAAATGATACATGTGATGCATTTTATTGGCTAACAAATAAAAATCCGGTACCAACAAAATACATTTTGGTACTTGAATAAGTCCTCTTATACAATTCCCTGTTTTATTAGGAAAATGTTTTGTTTACCAAATCTTATTTATAACATTTGGTTAGTCAAATTTGATAAAAGTATTTAATCAAGTCACCCCAATAAGGGGACTAATTATACCTCATTGGTTATGTGATTTTTTTTTTTTTGTGTCTGGGCTTACCCCCCTGACTACTCATTCGAACTCATTGTTTAAGTTGAGTTAAAGCATGTCCTTAAGGGACAATGATAGTTAGCCCTTAAGAGTAATTTCAACCCAACTGTCCAAAATGGCTAGGCTATATATATATATATATATATATATATATATATATATATAAATAGCTTACAATTCATATTTCAAAAGATAAACTTTTGTTTTTTGTGATTCAGATTACTTTAAATTTTACTTTAAAATTAATCTAACGGCTAATATTAACACCCTAATTTAATAAGAAAAATACGCCCCTAAGGGTGTGTTTGGAGTGACTTTTTAAAATAAAATTTTCAAATTATTTCTCATATATATTTTTAAAAAAATAGTGTTTGAAACCACTCCACCACTACTTCTACTACAACCACCATAATATTTTTTTTTCTTCAAAGCCACCCTGTATGGGTGGGGGGTTTGGCAGAACCCCTACTTGTATATATAAGTAAAAGGAAAAAAGTACAAGAGAGGAGGATATAGAGCCAAGCCTCCAGAAGTGGAAGAAAGTCAAAGCAAAAGCACGGCGGTGACTTACCACCAAAAACTGAAAAAATAAATAAAAAGCATAGCAAAGTGGGGAATCCCCACAGAACAAAATAACTGCAAATATCAATGAAAATAAAAACTCAACGATGAACGTGAGGAGTTTGTCGAGCGTCTAAGGCGAGGATACCAGCAATCCAAAAAAAAAGGGATGACGAATCAGAGAATCGCTGATTGAGCTGCTGAGAGCAAGCCCAATTAGCCAAGAAGTCTGCAGCCTGATTCGCTTCCCACAAGACGTGGCAAACACGAGCCGAGAGAGAAGCACACAGAAGCCTAATTCGAGCAAGAAGGTAAGCATAAACCCAGCATCCAGTACCCTGAGAAGAAACCCAAGAAACCATTGTAGCTGAATCTAACTCCACTACCAACTCTGAAAATGCCAAATTTGCGGCCAACCCTAACCTAGCACAAATAACCTGCAACTCCGCATACAGAATAGGCTGATGACCCAAAAACAAGCCAAAAACCCTGATTACCCAACCCTGGTGGTTCCGAATAACACCCCCTACCACAGACATCCCCGGATTTCCCTTAGAACAGCCATCAACGCTGATCTTCAGGCAACCCACTACAGGACAAGTCCAAGCAACCAAATGAATGGGTCGAGGCTGAAGAACCAAGACCCTAAGAGAACCCACAAACTCAACCAACTCATCTCGACGAAACTGACTTGGAGCAAACTCAAAAACAAGCCCAACTAACTGCAAATCAGCCATAACCCTCTAAATCACAACGGGCACATGAAATGTCTGGCCATCAAACCTATAAGCATTACGCGCCTTCCATAAGTGCCACAGAATGAAGCACGGTAGCAGCACCCTCACGTGACCTGCAAAAGGAGCACAACGCCGCCAATGAAGCATTAAAGTATAAGAAGACTGAAACGGCCAACATCTGATCCCAAACATCCGATAAAAATAACCCCACACCTGAACTGTAAGCGAACAATTCAAAAAAAGATGCCTAAGAGTCTCAACAACCCCACCATACACACACCGGGATACTACATGGAAACCCCGTCTCTCTAAGCCATCATATGTGACCAGAAAATCATGAAACAACCACCACATAAAGAAAGAGATCTGAGTCAGAATATGCCTCTGTCAGACATAAGAAAACCTAGCCTGAAATGGAGCCACCACCACAAATTTATTGTATACCATTTTTTTTACTCTGTGCCTTCAGGCACAGACAATAATTAGTATTTAAATATTACATTCTCTACTTTAGCTAGCCACTTTTATAAATTCACTCCAACCACGCTCTCTATTTTACCTAACTACTACACTCAGCTCTCACTAACTTCCAATAATTTAAAGGAAATTACAATATATATATATATAGAGAGAGAGAGAGAGAAAGAGGTAAAGAGGTAAAGAGAGAATTTGGATAGACTTAATGAATCTCCACATTTGAAAAACCATTTTGGTGAAATGTGAAATAGAGAATGGGATAGAAAGTGAGTTGGAGTTGCTCTACGGGGTATAGGGAGAGATTGAAACTGACATCCTGAGTTACTAAAATACATGCCCAACTTCTGAACCTCCCCTAAGAGTTATTGGTTGTGTGGGTTTGTCGCATCATTTAGATCACAAAAATAATTCCAATACTTGGTCACTTTAATATTTTTCACTTAAATAATTGTACTGACAATTGGTGGGTGTGTGAAAGTTGGACACCTATTTGTTCAAGGTGAAGATGGCAAAAAACTCCTCTCCACATTGCCTATAACCGGGAAAAGATAAATTATATTGTCTTCTCAATTTCTTTTAATAATAAAGAAGGTAGTCGAACCACGTCCAGCAAATATATATATGTAATTTTACCGAACCATATAAATTTTAGTATTGTCTTTTTTGTGTGTGAGCTTTGATTTTTATTTATTTTCTTATCACTGCATTAATCAAATTGTTGCGAGTGATTCCCAACAGAGTTATGGTATGTATATGTAACATGCAGACTACCATGGTTTGACAAATACTAGTAATTACAAAACGCATCGAGAGAGTTTTACTATGTGATTATGAGGAAGCGAACGTTTAGTTTCAAATCTTATGGTGAGCTAGATGAGTTAACTGCGGTTTAGGAGTAAACTCTTACCATTGGATAACTCTTTCACCTCAATTTTCTTCATACTTCAACCACAGATAATCTCGTACATAATTACTCATAAGAATAATTCTCTATCCACTGCACTCAATCACCTATATAATTTATCTTTTTTGGGATATTTGTCACTCTTTCGTCTCTCTCGTCCTTAATAATTGCACACAGGGATGACCATGGGTAGGATCCACTAGTGATAAGAAAACAGAGTGTGTAACTGCTATGAAAAGAGCAATGTTGCACAGATTTAAAAAATAACTTTTGTTGCAATGAACAAATATTTAAAGAAAACCTTAAGCGTAGTTGAATTGATAACAAGGACGAATTATTAATTTAAACGTCTTAAATTCAAATTTTTACAAATACTATTTGAAGTCAAATCATAAAAAATTTATACTGTAGTTTTAACGTGGATAACTTGTCTTTCACTAAACCGAAGAAAATATTAGTCGACATACGAGTAAAATGATCTAGATACCTTGACCATTAAATCCAAAAAAAATATCCAAAGGAAGCCCAAATATTCATCAGTCGGTACTACGCACCCTTTCCATCGAAGTGTCACTAATTAAGTTGTCTCTAAAACCTTTTTTTTTTGGTAATGGTGCATGTCTGTTCCTTACGTGGAATGCTCTTGCTGCTGGTTGATTCTTTGCGGGGTGGGTTTTTTGTAATTAAATTTATTAATTTCCACACAGATATAAATTCTTGTAATTTTTTACTTTTTTTTCCGACAGTTACAGTGTGCACGTCAACTTACACACATTTCAACTAATTTTTTTCTTGATCCGATAAAAGACAGATCATTCACGTCAAATATAAATCCTTGTGGTCTACTACCAAAAAATTTACAAAATTCCAACTCTTACAATTTGTAACCATTACTTATAATCTGTCTGGTAGTGCAAAGGAACTCCTCCGATCAAGATTCCCAAAATTTGATATATATATATATATATATATATATAGTTTCAGGGTCCTATAAATATATCCTTTATCCCTTAACACCAACATAACCCTACAACACACTTTCGTGTTCACTAAGCAATGGCTTCCTTTGGATTTTCAGCCACCGGAACTCATGTTCTGCGGCCAAACACCACACTTTCCAGTAGTTCTGATCATGTTAGAAATGGGTCTGTTTTTGGGAAATCCATTTTCATCAAGAAACGCAAGGTTGGGGACTTAACAATCTCAAATGTCGCCACGAAATTGCCGGCGGTTGTTCCGTCACCGACCAGGGAAGGTTCCGATGAACATAGTCTCGCGGCGTGGACGAGTGTCCGGCAGGAGAGGTGGGAAGGAGAACTTGTGGTCGAAGGCGAAATACCACTGTGGCTGGTATGTTGATCAAATCTTCATTGTCATCATTATAGATTACACACACACACACAAATAATGTTCTCAAACCATCCTAGAAGAAATATTCTATTGCCTTTTTTCCAGTTTTCTACAAGATTTAGGCGGATAAAAATGATGTCCGAGTGCACAAGATTCTTGTCATCGTGAAAACTAAGACTAATTCAAATTCACGTAATATATTATTAATTAATATTTTCATTATCAACTGTAACCACTACAAACTACAACGATTAGTAATCATTCAATATAATAATTATGCTTCCATCTTCATTGAACATGGTAGTGAATGGATTGCATATAATTCTCTATGAACTTCATGAATTTTTGATATTGTCTCCTTACTTTTGCAGGACTTTGAGTGCAAGACAGATATCTCTATGACCACTACCAACACAAAATTTTAATTATGAAAAAAAATACATAGACTATTTTTCGATAAGCAAATAAATTTATTTTCAAATAATAGATACTATACAATAAAACTCACAACACGTCCACAAGGGCAATCGGAGTAAGAATCGAGGTGTTTGTTCTATCCACACACCTAGTTTGTATTTAAAAAACATAGAATTATTCATCACACCGTATCATACACAATCATTAACTTGATAAATATACATCACATGGATAGAAGATAAAGATGGTATTAGGGTATAATATTCTTTAGTTCTTTAATATTTTTTTTTCGATATAGAATATTGTCATTTTACGTCTACCCCACGCGTATGTCTTATTCTAAATTCATTTTGAAAGTAGTTGACTAATTATTGGCCTCCATGACATGCAGAAGGGGACATACCTAAGAAATGGACCAGGCCTATGGCACATCGGAGAATACGACTTCCGGCACCTCTTTGACGGCTACGCCACACTGGTCCGGCTTCACTTCGAAAATGGCCGTCTTGTGATGGGTCACCGGCAAATCGAATCCGAGGCGTATAAGGCAGCAAAGAAGAACAACAAACTATGCTACCGAGAATTTTCCGAGGCCCCTAAGACTGACAACTTCCTAGCCTACATGGGAGACCTAGCTAACCTATTCTCCGGTGCATCGCTGACTGATAATGCCAACACCGGTGTTGTTAAACTAGGAGATGGACGAGTCGTTTGCCTTACCGAGACTATTAAAGGGTCAATTATTATCGATCCAATCACACTTGATACATTAGGGAAGTTTCAATATAGTGACTCATTAGGTGGGTTAATACACTCGGCCCACCCAATTGTCACGGATACAGAGTTCCTCACATTGTTGCCTGATTTGGTGAATCCGGGGTACTTGGTAGTAAGGATGGAGCCGGGGACGAATGAGAGGAAGGTGATCGGTAGGGTGAGTTGTAGGGGAGGGCCCGCCCCTGGGTGGGTCCACTCGTTCCCAGTGACTGAGCACTACATAATTGTGCCCGAGATGCCGTTAAGGTATTGTGCACAAAATTTGCTCAAGGCCGAGCCCACACCACTTTATAAGTTCGAGTGGCACCCTGACTCCAAAGGGTTTGTTCATGTTATGTGTAAAGCTAGTAGCAAGATTGTGAGTCCTCTCTCTCTCTCTCTCTCTCTCTCCTGTTTAAGAAAATATATTCTTAGTTGGCATTATTTTTCTTATACATTCTGTCGCTATGTGAGAAAATAATTTTTTGTTGAATTTTGAAGGTGGCAAGTGTGGAAGTTCCACTGTTCGTGACATTCCACTTCATCAATGCATACGAAGAGAAAGACGAAGATGGGAGGGTGACGGCAATTATCGCCGACTGTTGTGAACATAATGCTGATACAACAATTCTCGATAAGCTCAGGCTGCAGAACCTCCGGTCATCCACCGGCAAAGACGTCTTGCCCGATGCTAGGTATATTCTTCAATCATAATTAGATATTGTTATCTAGGGAAAAAACACCATATCGAATAATTATGTTCGCATGGAGTTATTATCTCATTAGGTTAAGTTGTAATCTCATCTTTATTCTATAGTAAGTTTCGATAATATGTTAAACTCGGTACTGTAATCGTTCTTGTTGTCAAGGTATCTCGTTGTCTAGATTGGAACTTTCGACGTACGTCTTATATATGCTATTGTCTGTTTGGTTCTGATGTCTGATAGCATACTACGGCAGTTCAAATATTCTTCTGGACTTCTTCTGCAGTCTGCCCCATTGATTTTGTCATTCTATGAAGGAATGGGTTATCTTCGATGAAAACTATTATGTTAGACGTTGAAATATCAAAATGTCAAAACAAAAACAAAAAAAAAAAAAAAAGAAAAATTAAAATGGTTCTAATGCCAAAATCCCTAGTTTTCTACGTAACTGTTCGTTCCACTGCATGCATGGGTTGAAGAAAATATAGGGGCCATAGTATAAAGTCAAAAACCCTAGGGGTCAAACTACAATGATAGATAATCTGTCATGGTGGAGTCTTTTCTCACGATTTAGAAATATTTTGTCAACGATGACACAAAATGATGCCAAAGAATTAGTGGCACAACCCTCTCGTTTTGTTCTATGATCATTAGGCACTGATCCAAGTCTCGTACATGGTGAAAGGTCAAGGAAGTTAGTGACCTGATGAGAGGAGAACCAACCATTACGTCTTGTGAATTTTTTCAGGGTTGGTCGATTCATAATACCATTCGATGGGAGTCCATATGGGAAGCTAGAGGCTGCTTTGGACCCAGAAGAACATGGAAAAGGCATGGATATGTGCAGCATCAACCCAGCCTACCTGGGGAAGAAATACAGATATACCTATGCTTGTGGAGCTCAACGCCCATGCAACTTCCCCAACACCCTCACTAAGGTCAAGTTTTTTTCCCGGAAAGTAAATACTATTATATATTGACCCGAAAAAAAAAATTAGATATTACAATAAAACTCAAAACGCTCAAAAGAGCACATATATATTGTATACTCATAAAAGTAAATTGCTCAAAGCAAAATATAACCTAGCTTACAAAGGAGCACACATGGGTTTGTTTACAGATAATTAAACAATCTTCCTTACTATCAACCCTTTTTTCTCTCTTTTTTCGTGTTCGGATTCGGATTAAAGATATTCAATTAATACAGATTGATTTAGACGAGAAAAAGGCCAAGAACTGGCACGAAGAGGGTGCTGTGCCATCTGAGCCGCTCTTCGTGCCTCGCCCTGGTGCAACAACAGAAGACGACGGTGAGTTTAACGTTATGCTTTTAAGTCAATTTTTTAAATCTATGTAACATTGTTTATTGTAGTATAATTGTATGAAACGAAGAGAGAGAGAGTCCATTGATAAACTAGAAAGTAATTCCTTAATAATTTAATTTAGAAATTACTCTTGTCTCCTCAATATTGCACCATATAGATGAGAGATGACGAAAAAATAGGTCCATATAGTTAGTGAAATGACCCCGTCTTTTACTTTAGTAGTATGAACAATTACCGAAAAAGACGTTTAACAAAGCACAAAACACGCCCAATTGAGGACACCAAGCAATTATCGAAAAACAATTACCTGATACAGACAACGTACTAGGTCTATAATAGAACTTGTCTCACAACCCGACAGACTAGATATCTTCAAATTTGTTAACTTATGGCGGAATTAGTGTGATCTTTTCTCCCACCAATTGATATCCTATTCCTAATTTGTTTTTTTCTTTTTGGCTAATACGAATGAAGCCAAACACATCCTTTTCAATTTCTCTGCCACCAATACATAACTAACTATTTTCCGGCTCCGGATTCTGCCCCCTTCATCCCGGATAGAGATACAGACAAACATGTCATGGTATTTTATGACATAGACATAGCCATGGCCTTGATTTCTAGCAAAGTTTGATCCCGGCTCCGGCTCGCACCAAGCCTTGCTTATTATTTTTATGTATGATCACAGGGGTAGTGATCTCAATGATCAGCAGCAAAAATGGCGAAGGATATGCATTGGTATTAGATGGATCGGCGTTCAAAGAAATTGCCAGAGCGAAATTCCCCTATGGTCTTCCCTACGGACTCCATGGATGCTGGGTGCCTAAGAACTAATATGGCAATGGTGATGATGATGATTATGGTGGTGGTGGTGGTGATGACGACGACAATGATGGTATAGATTGATGCTAGAATTCGTTTCCACCTTGAAGCTTTTATGCAGCATATCCCATATCACATGAGTCTGTCTATGTACATGATTTTACATCATGATGCATGTGTTCGGTAGTAATGAATAGTGTGATGTTACATAGTTTGGAATCGTGTAAAACATAAACACAAAATATGACATATGCATAAACACCACACAAGCAAAGTTAATTGTACCTTTGGACTACTATCAATCGTCATCCTCTGAGAGAGAGCGTCGATTTAGAACTATATATGCATGGACAAGGATCAGAAAGAGTAGAGAACAAATACATAAAGAAGCTATAAAACAATTCAACAAGGAGAAAAGAAGAGAAAAGAAGAAGAACAACTGTAAAATGGCAAACAGTACTATGCAGAAGAGCAATGTGAAAGTAAAACCCCGAAGCTGGATGCCTAATCATTGCAAAAATCAGGGAACCATGAACATGACTCAAAAGTCGAGGCAAACGACTATCTAAATTAACCAAGAGAAGTCACTAAAGGTGACCTTCATTATAATTACAAGTGTTCATAGCATCTGCCTATCAAACAACCATTGCACTTATAGATGTTAGAACAGTTTCAATCAAAAGGATTCAACTGAGAAGCAAGACACAGTGCAAAGACAAGAGAACAAGAATGCAATTTTATGTCCTTAGCAAGCCATTTACTATTCACCATCACCCCTAGTCAAATGATGTAGCGAGTGCAGAATCAACTAGTTTCAAACCTTACTCTGGATAAAAAAGAGATTGTTGCTGCTTAGCCTGGACACAATATGGACGAAAGAGGAATTGACTTCCATCTTTAGACTATATCGCTCCTAGCCTTTCTTTCTCTTGCTCCTAGCCTTTCTCTTTCCTTCCTTCCTTTCTAGCCTACCTCTAAAGTTCTCCGATGTCACTTAGGCTCGAGACATGCCTCCTATTGTGCTTTCCTCCCTGCCCCCCTACTCTATATCTCAGATTCCAGTTTAATGTGGATAGCATTTATAGCATTTAGAACAAGACAATTTGGTTCTCAGAAGCGTTTAATATAGGTCAAATCCAATATTGGGTTGAATCCTGCCCCCATCGCTGGATAACAGAATGAAAGGACTTCTTCCAAAGGAATATCCAGTTTGATATGTCATGTTTTCATCTCATTTTGCACTAGATTTATATGTACATGAAACACTTAATGGGCCAAATTCATATTAGGCTCTGACCACCACCTATCAGAAAAAGCATGAAACGAATACAGCTTGGTGCTAGATGGTGAACGCAATGGGACTTATGAAGTGTTCTATAAATTGACCGAATTCCTCAAGATCAAGTAGAATAGTAGTAGATGTATGGTGGATGCAAGAGACTTGCTGTAAAGAAAATATGTATTGAGCCTATTATTATGTCATAAACAACAGAATTCCTTACTTTTCTATTTTTCCTAACAGGGTATAAGAGAACACTTGTAATCAAGGTTATGGGGAAAAAAATATTCTGGGCTAATAGATGAACAAGCAGTAACTGTAACTGTCTGACCAGAACTTAGATATGCTATCAGGAGCAAAAAAATAGAACCCTCACAAAGAAATGAAGTCAGAATCAAGCCATTTTACTTCACCCATCAACCAAAGATGAGTCAAAATCCAAAAGCGTTCAAACCTCGTATAAATGACAGAGATGGTAAGCAGAAATCTTAGAACGATCACTTCTGGTCCGTATACACTGCGTCAACGTCATCAAGTTCAAGTAATTGAGACATAAGTTCCTTGTTCAAGTCCTTAGCCTCATCATCCACCTAAGAACAATCCAATCCAATTACTTACAAGGCCACACATGCTTGAAGATTTTCTAAATATAAGAATTTCTCTCACATATATATCCAGAAAATTAGTTTGGATAAAACTTTGTTGACTTGAATTGTATGAATTTCAGTCACAAAAATATCCACAGAAAATATTGTCAATCCATACATATCTAACAAAAATTTATGCAAATTGGAGTGCACTGTATTTTTTATTTTCCCCTCGTTTCTTTCTTGGGCAAAAAGAGGGGAAACACTGCCTGCAAAGATCATTTGATGGCGTTCCAATCAATTTTGCATGTAGCATCCAGCGAGCTGCGTATAAGCAATGATTCGAGGAGGAACAACTTAAAAGGTATTGTGTTTGTTGACTTTAGTATCAATGTTATGCATAGTGATAGAGGAATGGATCGAATGGTATTTCCAGCCCAGGGAAAGGACCTCCATTAGGTGATATGGACATCAAGGAGATTGATCTTCTGACTATTAGGAGAAAGAAAGAAAAAGGACTGGTATTGTGATTTGTCTAGTCAGGTATGAAATGCAATCACCTGGAGGTAGTGTCCATCTTTTTCAACAGACAACAGAAACTTGGAAGAGCAAAATGTCCAGCATTACAGGGTGAGCACATGATAACGATTGGGAACTTTATATGTTACAGATTGAAGTGCTAGAATTGAGATGCAGGCGAGCCTAATGGCCTCCCAGAAAATGTAAACAGAACTGAGAAGCAAGAAAATTAATTTCCTTCATTTTCAGGATACAACCACATGCCTACCATGAAAGCTGTGGCAGTCTCAGATCAACCATACAACTAAATGATTTTCCCTAATGACAGCACACTTTAGAAGGACAGAGGCATGACAGACATGTTGGTGCTATAATAAAAAGTCTGGTAAATTTTGGGAAACTGTGACAGGTGTGACTGCATTAAGTATTGCAGATTCATTTATGAGAAAATCCTCTTATCTTAAATTGTCTCAATGAAATTTATATGAGCTCTTAGTTTGATCATCATTATAATCATTCGAAGGAAGCCCCTATTCACACTTGAAGCTGCGTTGGTCACATTGTGAAGACTGCCCTATAAGAGTCGACCAAGAGTACGAACTAGTGAATATCTATCATTCTCAAGGCATGTAAGTTGTGTCAGATGTGGATATAGGAGGTCCAAGTGCTAGTGTCCGAAACATGACCAATATAAACAGACTTCCTCTTTGAATGAGTTCGGGCTTCTTAAATACTTGCACATGTTTTCAACATGTATGCCTTAAGGTGCAATAAGTTGTATTAAGATTCCAGCCATACATAAAGGAATGCCTGACTAGATAAACTCAAGAATCATTTCTGTTTTTCGTACACATCAATCAGCAAGGCAAACTCCTAGGAACTTAGGTTACAACTAGGCTATAGGCTCTTTGCTTTGCCCGGACTATTCGATGACACTGATCACACCTTCTGCCTTTGTCTATTTCGTATGCGTTTGATTAATAATCCATAGGCCTGTGGCAAAGTTTTAAAATTCTGATCATAGCTGGGCCATAATCTTACTGGCAGTTCAGTAGCTGCCTTACAGTCAAATACCAATAGGATAAATTCCTGTCCTTGTTATGTAAGTTAATCACAATAGAAAAAAAATGTTGGCTGTATTAGCAACACCATCTATGATAAGCACAGAACAGATCTTATTGAGGAGTGGAACCTCAAACTCTTCAATTGTACAGTCATGAAATAGTCAATATGTGGGCAACTCAGAGACGATATCCTTGTAACAGTTTCTCAAGAGATTGTCCAACAAAGATCATACAAAATCATCCAAGAGTGAGAAACAATGGCATGGAAATTCAGTCCGCACTATTGACATACCTCAATTGGGGTTATCGGAAGTAGCTCTGATCCATTATCAGGTTCAAAAGCTAATCGTTCCTCACGCAACTTCGATAGTATTGACGTGTAGTTCTCTGCTGAACTCACAATTTTGTAATACCTACCAAAAGAACCAGCCAATCAATAAGAACTTTGTAGAGTCAGAAACCGATAGTTAAAAAACTCAGAAATAATGTAAATTATGTTACCAGCATCAGATGCTATGCCAAATAATAACAGTAGGTGGATTAACCACATGACTTAATGGGGCCCTACTGAAAAGTGAAAACCCAAGTCCCTTTCAGACAAAAGAATACCTCAACATCTGCTGAAGGAAATATATGTGAAAAGAACATTCTCTCAAGAAAATTACAATAGCCTTTGTTTAACAACCTTAAGAAATAAATGCCCAAAAGGACCGACTGACAAGGCTACTGCAATGTGGCATGTCTATTCAGTATAAAATGTCAAAAGCCCAAGCAGCATTTTCAATTGTATACTTGAAGGTGTATCTTATAATGCAAAAAACCAGAAATCAAGAAGAAAAAGGAACGAAGGAGAGAGGGGGAGAGGGGGAGGGAGGTAAAACATAATTTGATTAATACCCATAATAATAGTATTAGCGAACATGCCCAACTGCAGTACCAAAGGATAAAACAAATTATTCATTTACTATAACAAGCTCTATTTTCCGAACACAATCACTTTTTCCAAGGATACCCTATGTCCCTATGTCCACATGGATACCCTATGTCCCCATCCATTCGACGAAAACAAATATCCTTCTTCTTCAATTATGCATAATGATTGCAACAAACAGAGCATGCATCATGATTTAAAACTAAAAACAAAAGAAGCAAAAAAATTAAAAAAATAAATAAAAACTAGACAAAAGTCTCAGTATAGCTACAACGGGATTTAGACAATGGGTGATTGAGGTCATCACATTGGCAAACTGCGATGGTAGAATTTTCTGCCAAAGGGGCACTCAAACTTCAAAATATTTTGATCTTCTACGTTGCCCGAGAAGTAGAACACAGTGTTCTTTACCTTATCAAGCCATTGTAAATCCCAGGTACTCACTTAATTTATTAAGCTTCCAGCCTTCCACTAAAAAGTGCAGCTAGAGACGCTACCTTTGTCCCATAGCTGACAAGATGGAGTTTCAATTATTACTCATCACTGATGTGGGAAACTACACTTTCTTAATTGCCCAACATTGATTGATCATTGTAGCAGATACATGCGGGATTATCATATATACGTTTTCACTCGTGCATAATTAGGCAAATTCAAGGAATTCTTTTGTGGGGTTTCATCCTAAGTTCCAACGCTCCTTGAGATTGTAAAGAAAGGCTTCCAAGGCCATTTTTCCTCTTAAAATGACACTGAGTACGGCATTAAACACTGATGCCAGGTTCAGGGAATGAGTCGTAATTTCTGGACCTTAAGTTTGTGAGAGAGAAATCCATTTGCGTTTATCAAGCCACTTAACTTAAGCCTCACTCCCTATGGATCCCCTCCTGAAGAGAAGAGCAAAGACTAGAATCAATAAACGAGCACACAGTGTAAGACCTTTTAACCTGGTCTAGTATTAATTCTCTTTCAGTATTTGACCACTCATTCTTGCTCGATTAGACCATTCAAAGCATAATCTATTCATATAAACCAAAAGCTACACATGTTCCACCCAGAAACCAAGAAGAATAAACCAATGCTGAATGTGATAGGAATTTGCAATGCAAACTGAAGGCATATAGAATGGATGAACAACTAAAATATCATATAAAACATAGACTATACAAAGAAATAGTTGGCTAACACCTTTCCAACAAATCATCTTCCGTGTCATCTTCATCCATCAGAGGTTCAATCACATCATCAGCACCAGCATCTAAAGCAACGGCAAGTAGCTGGTCTTTATCAGCATCTGTGACTTTTATATTTACAACTCTGGCACGTCTGAACTTGAACATAATGGATCCAGGATCTGCCATCTTTCCACCACAATCCTTCACCACCTCTCTAACAGCTGCCACTGATCTGTTTATTTTATCCGTTAAGACCTCAACTATTATACCAACTCCACCAAAACCATAGACCTGAATATACCACAAGGTCTATTTCTAAGCATCGAATATTTTCTAAATGTAACAACAGTGATAGCACATAAAAGCATTGACCGAAAGAAACCACCCGAGTTAATAAACATGATCCCAGCATCAAAACAGATTTCATAAATTAGATTTCGCTACCTCATAGAGTTTCTCAATGTAAGCTTCTTGACCCTTCTCAGAAGCTTTCTTAATGTTGCGCTCTAAGATTTCCTTGGGTACATCAAGCTCCTTAGCTTTGTCAAGTAAAGCAGCCAGAGCTGTATTTGATACTGGATTGGGGCCACCTTTTTTAACACTGCACCAAAATTTCATATTACTTCATACACACACATAAACAGAGAGACAGGACGGGGAGAGAGGGAGAAAGTCAGCAATACAAATGATTCAGAACCTATCCTATATGGTATTTTACTATAGCATCACCACCACCAAAAATCCATTCAAGATCCAAAAGTTCCAGAGAAAATAACCTTTTCTCAAGTACTTGATGCAAGGAACTAATTTTCAATATGAAACGATCGAAATGGCCACATATGGAAACCAAAACAAAAAAATGATTGAGTTGAATATTAAAATTCTTATGTTTCGACGTGTTTCAATACGTTTTCATCAATGTTTTGCAAATAAATTTTTAAATTTTATTTTTGTTTCCATCATGTTTTCGAATTGTTTCTGAAATGTTTCAGCTTTCCAGCCTACCGAAACTATGCACCAAAATATGGACAGGCAATATACCATAATAGCGGATAAGAGTAACAACTTACGCAGACACAACTTCCTTGCCGATTTTGCAATACAGCTTTGCCTTCTTTGCATTCTGAGCCTCCTGCATTTAAGGCATACCCATAAAAAATTTTAGTAGAAGATAAGAAGAAACTCCTTTTTTGACCCTCTCTCTCTCTCACTCACTTAATATGTGAGAAACATAACGTTTTAATGACCCTAAGCACAAAAGACAGACGCATAGAGTCATCCAACCTATTCAATGTTAAAATTTCTTCTTTTTTTTTAATGATCTTGTAAGAGAACAACTCTTATCTAACTTGCAATCATCTCCCCAACGGGTTTTTGAATAGTTGTAAGCCAGAAATATTCGCAATAGAATTAGGAAGAACAAAAAGAAAAACCAAATAATTGGAACATCATAGGATAGGAGCATCACTGCATTCATGGTGTTCCTAACTGAATCATGCTGACAGCCATGCTAACTAGTGTGATAGTGTGACTACCAGAGTTATCCACGGAATAAAAATTTAGTGAAGAAAAGAAAGGTTCAAGACATTAACGATATCAGCTTGTAAACATCTGTCAGCATAGTCAATCAGGTTATATAGTAGTTTTTTATAGCATTTCATGGCAATCCTAATCAATGAAGAACATGCTTTAAACCAAGTAACCCTTTTATTTGCAATAGAAGTTAGCGAAAGATATGAAAAATCTCCCTCCAAGCCTTAATATGACTTTCGTTGAATATGGCTTTCCGCCAAATTCTAAATGCATCTGTAAGATCGAGTATAGAATTGAATTTTGTTTATTCACTTTAAAGCGCTTCGAATCATTGCTATATGAATCCGACATGTTCTAAAAAAATCGACAGCCCCTTCATCATTCAATCTCCAACAAGACTAGGCTAGTTCTTTTTATTTTCCCTTTTTTCTGCTGGATTAAATACAAACAGATAGCAAAAGAAAACCCAGCATTCTTCCACCTTGAATGGGTCTCACATTTTCTATTAAGTTTTTCATCAGACAGGGAGGGTTCAAAATGTGGTACCAATTGCTACCACATGTTCAACCAAAATGTAAGTACCCCGAAAATCATCAATGTCGAAACTATTCCACATATGAGCAGAATAACAAAAATCAGCATCCTTTCCAAGAGAATGGAATTCACATTGTGAAACAAACTGCATTACAATTTACATACATAAATGTGATCGAGAGAGAGAGAGAGAGTTCTATACCTTTCTACCAGCAATCTTACAGGAACGTCTGCCCATACAGAGAGGAGAGAAAGTCCAAATCTTTCTAACTGGGTTCACAGATTGGAGCTCAAATGACGAGACCCATTTTGCTGAAGACGAAGATGATAAGTTCCTATTTATCAAAGCAGTACCTGAACCATAAATTCTATTATCACACCGAAATTACCCAAGAAATAGCAAGATATAATACATACAGACAGAAGCAGACATCTCTATATGGAAAGAGAGAGGGGGGGAGATTACTTTGAAGAGCGAAAGATTTGGGGCGTTGGAGAGAAACGCCATAGGAGAATCTATGGAGAAATGCTCCAAAGGCTCTTATTGAGGAAGAAGACACCATTTTGCTTCTATCTGTTGGTTGGGTCTCTGATTCTTACCCAGATTTATTTCGTACATAAAAACACATGAACATGAAAAGCCAAGGACGATGAAGATACGCAGTGTGTTCTTGTACATTGTGTAATCGGATCCAGATCGGGTTGTCAAGTGGTCGGTACGTGGAATCGGATTGATTTCGTTCCGATTTCGATTAAAAATACACATCGAATTTGGGTCCAAAATCCGAAGGATCCAAATTCTATTTTCGGAAAACCTCAATCCCCCAAGTCAATGGTTTAAACTTTAAGGACCTGTTGGAGAGAGAACAGAAGAATAATAAATTAGTCAAAGAGAATGCTCATTTCCTTTAAATTTCTTTTAAACCTACTACCTTTAATTAAAAAATTTCCGTCTCATTTTGCTCCCTCGACTATAGATAGGGTTTGACAAAATAAATAACGAAAGGGTCGTGATGGTGTAATGTGAAAAATCTCATTTTTACAACCTAATTTCAATGACCTCTCAATTATCATATTTCTCATTTTCTTTTTGGACTTTGTAACATTTTTTTTTCTATGTTTTCAAGAGTTTGGTTTATAGGAAAAGTTTTCAAAATTACTGAAAAAAAAATGTTTATAAGAGAAAAATTATTGGATTGCCTTCATATACCTTTTTTTTCTGGGGTTTATAACTGTCATTTTGTTATGGGAGACATGGAAATATTGGTAGAAAAAATAGCAGTGTTATAATGACTGAAAAAAATTAGAAACATAAAAAAAAAATGTAAGTTACAATTAATAATTTCTTCACAAGAAGATCACTTAAATATTTGTGTACGTGAAAATAGTACGTGAAACGTATTTTATATTTTGTTTGTTTGGTATTTTTCACTTGGTACAAATTTTTGGGTCATAGTATTGACCCGGTGTGAACAGTAACTCTTATGTCTTATATACGGTGTTAAACAATATCACCTACCCGGTGGTATAATATTCTCAGTATTAATTTTATGGAGGTATAATAGAATAAAAAAACTCAATTGTCCTCATGTACAATGTCCCATATAAGATTACTAGTCATAACCCGTGTCGGAAGGCACAATAAAATATAAAATTCGAGCATCCAAAAAATCGATTTCACCATATTAAATTTTTTCAAAATATGTTAACTACAAATTAATTAAAAATGAGTGATGTGACATTTTTAGAGAGAAAATATATAAATGATTAAATATATGATAGAAATGAATGATGTGATTTAACGTTTGAGTCTGACAAAGGGATGATAAGTGAGGTAAGTGATTGATAATAGTTTTGAGAAAGAAAATATGACTTGGATAAAATTCAAACACACTCCTGTTTTATTATATAGATAAGGTTACAATTGTCTTTTTACATTGAGTAGTTGTAATTTTTGACTTTTTTAAGTAGGTATTATATAGATAATATTTGTAACAAACAAACAAGAGAAAAAATGAGATTATAGTTTAAAATCGGGTATAATATACCGTTTGGATCGGAGTGAAATGAATATAAAATCTTATACCACCTAAATCTTATACGTCAAACAAACAAGCCCTTAGTGTATGGTGCGCGGGATGATTGTTGCAATGGATTGAGAGAGTGACTCACTTAATGATTATGAATGATGAACATAAAATTGAAGAAGAGTTAGAAAAGGGGCAATGTGTGTACCCAAATAATCTCTTTCGAAGTTTAAGTCAATCGACGTTCGAATTAAAATGCATATTGTATTCTTGATTCAAAGTTTGTGTACCTTAGCTTAACTTTGTAAGGGGTATTCATACCTATATCCATAATGATAACTCTAATCTAGAGTCAAATCTTAGAATTTAATGTCTTAGGTTCACAATCTAGTATAATGAGTGTTATTCCATCCATGTCTCATTAATGCTAATTATCCGGGCAAATGGATCTTCTCTCAGGACCCCACCATTGAGTGCTCCACTTCGGCTCCATGAGAAAGAAATAGATACCCTCGGAGTCCCCCGAGGTCAAGGACTTCCCTTGGGTACGATGGTCATTAATGCGTCGTAATAATGACTGTCTCCACATTTTTTGAGGATTAGACAGTCGTTAATGGTATGTCATACCAATACGACCTACATTAATAAGCTGTCACACTTCATTCAATATTAGATTCTTAGTGACATAATTGCTCAGCTCTTCCTCCTAGCGAATTACACGCATTCTAACAATTGTGGATATCTACATGTCGAGTCATTATTAGCGTCCCGCTTAATGTCCCGTCATATAGAATATTACCTTTGCATGCGAAGAACATATTTTTGCGACTTTAAGATTAACCTTTTGATCACACTAGAACAATCTTACTGCTACGCCAATGCCAACCTCACCAAATTAAACCCCGCCAAACCAAAAAAAAATAGTGTTTTGGCCTGGTTTCAATCATCATGAATATTCTCCGAGTAGTAACATGCCAGGTTTAGCACTTATTTTTCCGGCTAAAGAATAACAAAGTATGGAATTGGAGACTCTACCAATTTAAGTTAAGTTACATTATAATTTTTTAAGATTAAATTATAATTTTTTGATGTATAAGTTACAATTGAAAAAATCACAATTAATCCTAAAATATTATGATCACACAAACACACATGCGCAGAGTTAAATTTTTGGTTTACAAAATCCATAACGGTGAAGAGAACAAAATTGAATAAAATGAAGTACTCTGTAATATCTAATGCTTGGTCACATTTGACTCCTTTCCACTGCCAAAATGTTTAATCTCTTTTTCATGCCCTCACCATTGTCTTATCAAAGATTAAAATGAGAGACAAAACAATGCAGAGCAAGAATAGGTTACTTGCACATACATATATATATATATATATATCTTTTAATCAACAGGGGAAGGAAATGACAAGGAGATTAAATCTTCCAATGCTGTCATCACCCTATCATCTATCTAATATTACACTTAAAAAATTGAGCTCTCAACTTATAAAAATACAACAACAGTCAAAATTGATACATACTTCATATATTTTAATTTAATGGTATAAAATTCATCTCATAAAATTTTTTCCTGCCAAAAACATCAACTTTTGCACGACCCCGTCAGACAATTCAATCAACACACTCTCTAGTATTAAACAATCTCATCAATCCATACCTACCTTTCTCTCTTCATTTTAATTTTAAATTGTGTAATAAAAAAAACTAAATTATTATTTAAAATACAAATATTAGGATCAGTTCAATTGTTGATACTATGTGGTATCTTCAAATACGGAGTTGTTGCTAATAAATACATATTTGACCTAAAAATTTTAAAGATTACAACATTTTTATCCATGAGAATCCTTGTAAAGATGCCACCAGTCAAAAACCAATCTGTGCCCTAGTTTCATCTCAGCAACAAGGTATCAAAAAGACATGATCTGCAGCAAAATTTTCTTTCCCATGGTCAAATAACAAGCACTATCTCCCTCTTCGTTCTTGTGTTTTTCTCTTTCAATTGGCAAGCTGCTTTCACTCTAAACTATATAAAGGCCAAAAGCCTGTGATGTCCTTATAAGAATTTCAATTAGATCAAAGCACCCTGTGTCCCCATTAATTTGTTGATCACCTACAGAGTGAAACGTGGAATAAATTACCATCCTATCATAATTTTTTAACTCAATTACCTCAATACTGTGCTTTGTAACTTATTTCCCAAATCACCATCATCTTCATAAGTACGCCACAAAATTACTTCCGCCAAATATTCCCGTGAAAATCCAGCAGTACAGAAAACAATGCAAGCCTGTTGTTAAGTGCTTAAACGCAAAGTGCATCCCAGGTCAAAGTAGAAACTTAGTAGAAGAAGAGCCAAAGAAGCACCGCTTTTATCGCAGCAAAAACTTGGCTACAATAAATGACTCTAGTGATGACGATGAGAAGGAAAATGATGTATGAATCACAGATAGAAAACTGAAGATAGTATTGAATTTTTAGCCAAAAAGTTGTTGGATTAAGCTTTATAAATGGCAATGTAAACATGCTATCAATTAATAGGGATTAATCCAATTGCTATTCATTTTTTATCAAAGAAATGGCAATCTAAACATACTAGAGGAAAGACAACTTGATTTCAACATGAGAAGAATTTGTAATTCTAACCACTGGATAGACTTCCATAACCTATGCAGAGTGGGGTTATTCTGTGCTTCAATATTCACTATTTTTCGCATATGTTCCAGTGAATCAGATGATGCTAGAACATTCCATCTTTAACAGTTGCAAAGTTAAACAAGGAGGTTCCGATATGAAATCCTCAGCAAACCTTCAAATACAGCTATCCATATATGTAACTAGTATCCACCAATGAGTAATTAAAGAACAAGAAACAACAATGAAAACTCGGACCAAATAATGCAATCCATAAACTAATGGAAAGAAAAAGAACATGGTTGATAATTGCTCACAATGTCAAGAAGCAAGGAACTGCACAAGAGCTTCAACTAGACCCAATATACCCTGATCTAACCCTAGAATTTACACCCTTTATTTATGCATCATTTCCAATCTAAGCTACAAGATTTGCTAATTTTCTGTTGCATGGTCAGTGGAATCCAGCTCCTAAGTCGTTTATCCAGAGCAATGTACCTCAAGGTTCGGCATCCAAGCACTATCTGTTCTAGATCATCCCCTACAACATTGTCACAACCAACCAAAACAAGCATTTCCAAGGCCTCATGCCCCATGAAGGCACGAATGCCATTGCCTGTAACAAATTCACAACCTTTCAGATCAAGCAACACCAAATTCTGGCAATTCTGAGCAAGAGCAATCAGAGTAACATCCGTTATATTCATCAACCAGGATAATTTCAATCTCTTGAGAGTTTCAATCTCAGAAATTGCCATACCCCCAGTATCAGTTACTTTTGATCCACACTCCTCCAAATTCAACTGCTCCAAACAATACATTTGCTTCAAATGCAGTACTCCTACATCGGTGATTCGATCACAGTCTGCAATAACCAATTTTTTCAAAGTCCTCGACAAAGACCCTTTTGTTAGTGAAGCCAAACCCACATCCGTAATCAAACAACAACCCTGCAAGTTCAAAGTTATCAACGAATTCGCCGCCACCCCAATAGCTTCAAGGGCTTCATCTGTAATCCCACTACACCAACCCAAATCCAAAATTGTTAAATTATGCAACAAATTAACCAGGGAAACAACCCCAACATTCCCAATTCTGGACCGCCTTCTTAGAAAGACTTTAGACAAATTAGAACAGCACATGGCAATAGCACATATACCATTGTCATCAACATCAACCAAACCCAGTAAGTTATCCTCGCATTCATCGCAATCATCATTTTTTTCCTTATAATTAATGTCAAGCACCTCAAGTTTGGGACATGTTCGGGCAACGAATTCGATGTAAAAGCTGGAAATTACTTCTGATGATTGAAATAAGAGCAAATTTGGGAATCTGGGTAAGAATGTAGAGAGGAGATGAGGTTCGAAAACGCGTAAAGATAATCGCGTAAAGCCCTCGACCATTAACCATTGCTTGCACACTAGAGAGAATGATTTTCTGTGATCAGGATCATCAACCCATTGGAAAATTAAGGCTAGGATATTATCATCACCTAGTATTTCCATGACCCAGTTGTGCTCTCTGGGCAAGGGTCCAAAAACTCCGATTTCTCCAAGTTGGTGAAATTCTGATCTATCAAAGGTTTTGTCTTTATGCGATAGTAAACCTTCATCACAGAAGGTTAGTGAACAAAAGCTCTGTCGGCAACGGCTTTTACAAAAAAGACGAGTGACATTGGCGGGGTGCAGTTCGTCTGCGGTAAGTCCCTTACCGCATGTCATGCGGTTTAATTAAGTTTCGTTTTTTGTTTTTATTTTTTTTTCCCTTATCAAAACGACGTCGTTTTGGTCAGTATCAGATCCCTCCCTTTTCTTTCTCTCGCTTCTTCTTCGTCCAGTCTGGTTCTCCCGCCTTTTTCACCGCTCAAACTTCTCCATCTTCTTCTTTATCGGGTCTGGTTCTCCCAGCTTCTCCTTCTTCTTCTTCTTCGTTGGATGTGGTTCTCTAGCTCAAACTCTACAGTCCAACATCTTCTTTTTTAAGTATTTTGAAGTTTATAGGTAACAACTTAAACTTTAGAGTTTCTTGTTTCTTGTGTGCTGAAGTATTTATTCACCATAACAAACCTCCAAATTAAAATGTCAGCATCAGGTAGAACTGGAAAGTAACTTCCTATAGTGTAGAGAAATGAGAGAGAGCATGAAATCACATAAGAGGATATATTGTCATGATTGCAGAGGATATATTGCCATCAATAAGAGGATATATTGCCATGATTGCAGGGGAGCATGAAATCACATAAGAGGATATATTGACATCAGTTAAAAGGCGAATGCTTTGGTCAGTCGGTTTTGAGAACAAAAAAAAAATAAAAATGCCCATTATTTGCGCCTTCAACCATTGTGGCTACTTAAAAAAATTTGAGTTTAAACTCTAAGGAGATTGATTCCATGCAAATCCTCGGCTTTTGCATGAGTATACAGCAGTGAATTTGAAGTATTTGGGCATATGTGGTGTAGGCCACAACACAACTAATTGGTTAAATATATATATTGACATTATTGTCAATCAGTTCCACCTAGATTAGATAAAATAAAAGGAAGATATATTCAACATTCAATTGTGTAATGAAGGTTTTAAAAGGATGGTGTAGCTTTCATATAGTTAAATCTTAGCTAGCCTTAGTAATTATTCCCATCTGACCATATAGCAATTAATGATACAATATAATGTCGATTAAATGGGAATATCATATATTTTTTAAGTAAAGCAAGTAGTTGTAATAAGTACATGAACTCCACTAAAAAAGACTAGTCAAAAAAATTGTCATTTGAAATTATTGTTGCTAGATCTCTGTATAAACTTTTGATGTGAAATTCAACCCCCATGTTAATGTGAGTTGTTAAAGTAGTAGTGTTATGTTAAACTATAACTATCCGACCGAAAAAATAAAATAAATAGTTTATTTAGCTAGCTAAACAATGAGAAATCTCTGAAAGTTGATTGATTCAAATTGTGGGAATTTATTTTTTTATAAACTTTTATAATTTCAACGTGAACGATCAATCTTTTATGTCACTTTTATTAATTTTTCTTGCATTGCTCGAGTTAGGAATATTTGTCATTGAAATAGAACTGTAATTTTAATCAAGACATTCTTGGAACATTTTCAAGTGCTGCTAGTAGGAAATTGTTTTCAATTAGCGTCATCTAAATTATACAAATTTTGAAAAAAACATAATTTAAATGATTCAAAACACAAACATGATGATACAACACAACAATGAAATGAAAAAAGAGTTCCTGCCACTACTTATTCTGTTTGAAAAGAACCGTTATCTTGGACATGGTTTTTTTTCTTAAGAATTATGTAACCTTATGTACATGACATCTAGTTCCATGTATGACTGAAAGTTCCCTCTAATGTCATTTCAATGAAATTTCTTATTGTAGGATACTATGATGGATGATTTGGGAGTTAATGCGACTGATAATATACCTCATGTTGGTATGCAATTTGATGCGGAGGAAGATGCTTATGCATTTTACAATAGTTATGGAGGGTTTGTGGGATTTAGCGTGAGAAAAGATTTTCAGAATAAAAGTTTGAAAGATGTCGTTGTCATTTACAGAAAATATGTTTGTTGTAAACAAAGTCAAAGGGGTCATAATAAAAGAGAGTGCCAAATAAGGAAGCCTCGAGCAGAGACAAGAACAAATTGCCAAGCTCATATGTGCATATCTCTTAATAGAGAAATTGATAAATTTCTTGTAGTGAAGTGGGATGACAACCACAACTATCCTTTGCATCTTGCTGAACATATGCATATGATGTCATCTCAAAGGAAGGTTACCGCAGCACAAGGCATTAATATTGATATGGCAGCAGATTATGGATTGTCACTTAAGACTTTTCATGATCTTTTAAGTACTCAGTCTGGAGGAAAAGAAAGTCTTGGTTTTACTCGTCAAGACCAAAAGAATTACCTTCGTGAAAGGATGCAACGAGACTTGAGGTATGGTGAGGCTGGTAGTTTGTTGAAGTATTTTCAAACGGAAGCAGTGAAAAATCCATCATTCTATTATGGAGTGCAATTGGATGCGGAGGAGCATATTACTAATATTTTTTGGGCGGATCTAGTGATAATTATTGACTATGGCAACTTTGGAGATGTTGTCTCATTTGACACTACTTTCAGAACGAACAAGGAGTATTGACCCTTTGCTTGTTTTATTGGCTTCAATCATTTTAGAGAGACAATCTTATTTGGAGTTATATTATTTTATGATGAAACAGCAGCATCATTTCAGTGGTTGTTTTAGACATTCCTACAAGCTATGTCTGGGAAATATCCTATTACCATCTTCACCGACCAAGATCAAGCGATGACTAAGGCTATTTCTATAGTTATGCCAGAGACATACCATTGGTTATGTACTTGGCACATTTGCCAAAATATTTTGAAACATTTGGGGAACATATATAAGGATGGTTCACAATTTCCTACTCGATTTAAAGAGTGTGTGTATGGATACGAGAAAGAGCATGAATTATTTGAAGCTTGAAAATTGTTGCTTGCGGAGTATAATTTGCATGATAATATGTGGATTAAAGCCACTTGGGCATTGCGAGAGAAATGAGGGCATGTGTATATGAAGAGGACTTTCACTGCGGGAATGAGAAGCACCCAATTGAGTGAGAGCTTGAATGCAGCTTTACAGAAGTACTTAATAGTCAGACCATGATATTATTCAGTTCTTTGTACATTTTGAAAGAGTTGTGAATGATAAGCGGTATAAGGAGTCAGACTCAGAATACCAAATTAGGCAAAAATTACCTAGATTGAAGTTGAAAAGAGCTCCAATGTTAGTCCAAGCAGGGTAAGTGTACACTCCTACTATGTTTGACCTATTTCAAGAAGAGTATGATATCTTTCAATGTGCTATTGCGACACCATGTGATGTGTTGGATGGGTGGCATCAATTTGTGGTTCGATTATATGATGAATATAAAGAGTATTTGGTTGTGGTTAAGGCTAATGAAGAGATAGTCAATTGATGTTGTCGGAAGTTTGAAATAGAGGGAATATTATGTGGTCATGCACTTAAGGTCTTGGACATGATGAATATTAAGCAAATTCTCGAGCAATACATATGTAAGAGATGGAGACAAGATGCAAAAAAAAGTTGTAGAACAACCCTCATTTTAATGTCAAATGAAGAGAATTCCAAGTTAATTGTGGCATCACGTTACAGGCAGCTTTGTCCTAGAATGGTACAACTTGATGCTCGATGCTCTGGTCTTCAACTTACATATCAATTGGTGTCATATGGTGTTGAGGATTTGTTCAAACAAGTGGATAGTATGTATGCATCAATTGGTGATGGTGGCGATGATTTAATCCATGAAAATGTTGACCCAAGTGGAATAGATAATGTTGACACAAACCTTCTCCAAGTTAAAGGTTTAAAAAGAAAAGAAAGTGGTTACAAGGGTTGGGGTCGACTAAAATCTTGGCAAGAGAAAGCAATAAAAAGAAAAAAAAAAGAGCTTTCCGACCATCACATATGCCTACGGTATCGTATAAATATAATTGTAGATTTTTTTAATTCACTTCATATTTTTATTCACTTTATATTTTTATTCACTTCATAATTGTAAGTATTTTTTTTATTTCATTTTCAGTCACCCGTGTACATCAGCATATGGTCATTCAATGTCTTCTCAAGCTTCAAATAGTGTACAAAGTGTTATGGTATGTTTGATGTCTTCTCAAGCTTTTGGTACAAATTTTTTTGTCTGACTCCTTCTCATTAATGTAGGGTACTCCGACTAATTCAACACATGTGCATTATTTAAATGATGCTGAATCATTTTTCATTGATGGAGGATTCAACTTGTAAGGATGCTTGGAGCATCAGCAGTTATAAGGATGAAAATGGAGGCTACTAGTTGCTTGTTGAATCTTTTAATGAACCATTTCTTTTACTTGGATCATTTTTTTGAAAACTATTTATTTTTAATGAATGTGATATTATTTTGATGAATGTAATCTTTTTATAATGTATATGATATTTTTTTGATGAATGTGATCTTTTTAATGAATGTGATCTTTATTGATGAATATGATCTTCCAAGTCATAACAATATCCGCAACTCACAATTTCATTCAAATTAAACGCATAATTTCATTTACAACATAAGTTTCATCAGTACATCATTGCTCTTACAGATCTACTTCACTAGAATTACAAATATAATAATCACCACTAATAATGTGACTACAAACATATTTGACTTCAATGTCATTACATTGTGTTCAATTCTTTGTACATTGTCTTCAATTCGTCGTACATCCATCCTTTCATTTCTAATTTCCGAGGAGGGGAGAGTAATAGGAGTCATCCACTTAAAAAGGTGACTGGAATCATCTGGACATTTGCAATATAGTTTTTCAGGATTTTTTTCAGATTCTGAAACTTTGATAATCGCTCTTTTGCTACAAATGGGGCAATACATATTGCGATATCTTAAATCTTCATTGCTTGTTGTCGTGCTTGAAGATGTCATTCTTGAATCAGGTAGAATTGCTTGAACAAGCTATCAGGTAATAGATGAAAGCTGTTAGACATACACAGAATATTGCAAATCAATTACGATATTTCACCAAATACAACAGCAAATCAACTTCTGGCATTTTGATGTTTGGAGCATCAAGCATATAATGCAGAAAATTTGATGCAAAGACTGCAGAAAATCTAATGCAAAGACTGCAGAAAA